AGGGGCCGCAGGGCCCAGGGGTCTCGGTCGCCCCTTCTTGCCCCTCAGGGCTTCTGGCCGCACCCCGGTGACCCGCACCCCACACGGGAACAGAGGCGGCTGCCTGGGGTGGGGACGACACGGTGGCGACGGTGGCGGTGGGGCTGCTGTTGGAGGTCTACCTCGCAGGGTCTGCACACTAACATGCGACCCCCACGCTCCGCTCGCCAACTGGGAACCGTGAGCAGCTCCCATAGGCCCAGCCACTGGGGGTCCCCGCAAACGGCGAGGCTCCCTGTCCCCTGTGCGGTGTCCCGGGACAGAGGCAGCTGACGTACCAGGGCACCTCCAGCCACCGGGGACCCTCTGACCCCGACGGCACACTGGGCTCCAGCCCCCTGGCGCCTGCTGGCAGAGCCCGGCGACCTCCTTCTGCGGGAGTGGGCCTGGTCCTGCCAACCCAGTGGGCGACCCGGGCAGGAGGAGCCACAGCCACGGGAGGCATCCGGAGTGTGCCTTAGGCTGGGTGGCAACCGTGCAAGCCTTGGTTTTATTATTATTATTATTTTACGGATAGACCTAGTCTCTAAAATGTGCCAGGAGGGTCCATGCTTCCCTGCGTGTGTTCACAATAAATGTAAAAATTGAAAAAGTCATGCAAAGTCAGAAGCCACCGCTCCACAGAGCCCGAGGTGGCTCTGGCCTTCCTGCTGGCACCGTTGGTGGCACTGTTGGTGGCAGCGCGGCCCGGGGGTCTGGCTGGGTCTCGGGGCGGGGAACAGACCCCCTGGGGAGAGCAGGCCTGGGTAAGACTCGCTGTCTCCCTCCTCTGGGGCCCTGCTCACCTAAAGGGAATCTCTTCCCCCAGCGCTACCACCGCCTCCCTTGGGGACAAAGGGGGGCAGTCTTGAGTGTTCACTGAGAGACATGATTTCCTTAAATGGCTGGGTTTTCAGAAATGCACGCGGCTGCCGCTGACTCCATGTTCCCAGCCTCCAGGACAGAGGGCAGGCGGGCCAGGAGGGGCGGGAGGACAGACAGTCCTGGACAGCCTGGGACCCCTCCCCTCACACTTCAGGAAGGAGAACTGAGGTACAGACGGGGACATGAAGAGCCAGGGCCCCATCAGGCCCCTGGAGGAAGGAGGCCACCTGCTGTAGCAGAGAGCTGTCCGCCCCCATTGGGGGAGCCCCCCTGCCCCGAGAGCTTTTCTCTTTTCTGATACTTTTCTAGCTGCACCAGGAAACCAAATGCTCACTTTAGGATCGTGTTTGCCTAAGCTCTTGGCTGTGGTCCTCGATGAGCGTGGGAACCAGGCTGCCTTCAGCGGGTTCCTGAGAGCTACCGTGAACGCCTGTCTACGCCAGAAGACGGATCATTTAACCAAAAGAACAAGCTTTGACATTCTGGTTATTTTTCTTTGGCGAAACACAGTATTATCTTAAAGGACGGGAGTTTTCATTTCTGAACTCTTAACCTTTTGGCTTAAAAATACGAAATGGAGTCATTTTTAGACTAAACTGAAACAGAAAAAAAAAAAGAAAATAGACCAGCTTGGTCAACGAGGAACTTGAATCTGGGGTAGGAGGCTGCGCTGGTTTGTTTTTTTAGCTTTTCAACCCAAGGAAAGCAGGGCAAGTCTCCCTGCTTTTTAATTTCCCCGATGACTTATAGATTTAGCACAGCGTTATTTATGGGGAAACATCAGAAGAAATAATCCTTGTGCACAAACAGAAAACACTTCAGTAGACTTTTTTAAAAACTTAAAATCTTCCTGAGTTGGTGGTCAGATCGCTCCCTGCCCAGAACCCGTTGAGGGTCCCCTGTTCCTGGCCAGAGCCTGGTCTATGGAGGGGCCACAGCGGTAAAGAACCTGGCTCCTGTCTTCGCGCCCCAGCACTTGCTGATCCAGCAAAGGGAACTCTCTAGTTTCCAAAATGAAATCTGCCGCGCTGTCACCCTCCCGGGCCTTTGCACACGCTGTGCCCCTGCCTGTCTCGCTTCCCTTCCCTCCCCTCCCCCCTGCTCACCCGTTCTCCCTGGGCACAACTGCAGTGTCTTTCAGAAAGCTTCCCAAACCTTCCCCAGAGGCCTCCCCTTGCTCAGCAGCCTCCTGCCTGTTCCCCACCCCCATGCTCATCCCACTCCTTTATCTTGGTGACTCCTGATTCCTGTCTCTCTCCTTCACTAGAGGCTAAGCTCTAGGAGGGCAGGACCCTGTGGTCATTCACTGCAGGATCCCTAGGGTCTACCATGGTGCCTCATGCATGACAGGTGCTCTGTTAGTGTCCCGTGGATGAATTAGAACATGGCCAGAATTTGATTGAGGTCCACCAAATCTGGGATCACATTATTTATAGTCTATCCTTCATGCTTCTTGGAAAGTTTCCTCTTAGCCATTAATTGGGCCAATCACTCCATCTATCCATCAATTATTCACCCATCCATCCATCCATTTATCCATCTACCCACCCACCCAGCCACCCATCCATCCACCATTCATCCATCCATCCACCTGCCCATTCATCCATCCACCCACCTGCCCATTCATCCATCCACCCATTCATGCACCCATTCATTCATCCATCCCCATTCATCTATCCATCCGTTCACCCACCCATCCACCCATCCATTCACCCACCCATCCACCATTCATCCATCCATCCATTCACCCACCCATCCATTTACCCACCCATCCATCCATTCACCATTCATCCACCCAATTCTGTGGCTGGGAGGAAACTGAGGTTGGAGTTGCAGCAAGTCTCAGTGAAAGAAGAAAGTCAGGGTGTCTGGCATTCATGTCAGATTGGGTGTGAGGAGAAGGGCAGAAAGTCTGAAGGGCAGAACCAGCTGCAGGCAGCCCTGAGCACGGAGCGAGGAAGGGAAGAAGGGAGGTCTGGCGGGATCTAGAGCAACTCAAGTCTCAGGGGCTTCTGATGCCCCCCGCCCCACGTCCGCGGGTCTCCTCTCACTTCCCCTCTGCCCTTCCTCCTCCCTCCCCCCAGTCCTCGAAGGGGCCTGGCACCGTCCGGAGAGCTATGGAGTCAGACACAGATTTCTGCCCTAAAGAGGCTGAGTTTGGAGGGGGCTGCCAGGGTAGCGCAACAGTGCCGGGTGGCCCATGGTAGAGAGGCCCCATAATGTGTTCTGAGCACTGGAGGAGGGGGAGGGGAAGCCGGGTGCAGGAGGCAGTGTTTGAACTGGGCTGATGGATGGGTAAGGTCTGGGTACCTTAGGGACAGACAGGTGTGAACGGTTGCGAACATGAGGTTAAGGGAGTAATTCTATAAAATGGACCCACTGTGCTGACCCCACCGGCTTCTCTTCCAAGAAGTCAGGTACCTGTGCCCTGCCTGGTCTAAAGGGACAGGATGTGGCACATTCCTCAGTAAACTACCCATTAAATGCAGGAGAAATGCAGCAGGCCCCAGATAATGTCAACCAGAGAAACCCAAGTTACCTTGAGGGGGACACTTTCATGACCCTTTTCACAGACCAGATCTCAAAACTCAGGGAGATAAGAATCTGTAAGAATCTATGGTTAAGAATCCCACTAGAACTCTTCAGCCAGGGACAAGGTGACAGAGTGGTCACGGCAGTAAGGATTTGAAAGTCTGATGTCATCTTGCTGTCGTCAAATGAAGAGGCGGACCTGGGTGAACCCCCTGGAAACTTAGTGCCTGGGATCCACAATACACTGAGAGCCGGAGAGGCACCTCGCCTCCCTGTGTCCCTTGAGAGTGTCCCCTTTCCCTTCTGTCCCCTTCAATACACTCCTGCCTGTTACTCTGAGCGGCGTGTCTGAAATATTTCTGACTTGATTGCAAGAATCGGGGTTCGAGGAGGGGGTCTTGCCCTGCCTCAGTTTCTCAGAAGATCCTAGTGTGTAGCAGGGAGACGGTTCTAGAAGGAAAGCCATCAAAGGCGCACAGGCTGGGGGAGGGAATCCCGCCAGCCCGAGAGAGGACGGGAAGCCAGGCCTCCGCCCAGCCTCCCTGGGACACCAGCCAAGGTCGTGCCTTGAGGAACTGCTCGTCCGTTTTAGCACCTAATGCGCCCCAGGCAGAAGAGGCCGAGGATTAGGGACAAAAGGATGGGAGCTGCCGTCAGCGGAGTCTGGGAGCCATTTGGGGGTTTGAACAGAGGGGCTCCCAGGGCCCTGGACCTGAACCCCGAGCTCCTTGCTCTGGATTATGAGCAGCTCCCCCTGTTTTCTCGCCCCCCACCTCCTCTCTAAGGACGTATTTTCATTTTCTTTCATTTTCTTGAATGGTCCCTCTGTGCCCCCTGCTCCCGGCAGCCGCAGCCCCGCCTACTCTGAGCAGACTCCCTTGGTAGACGGCATGTTGGGAGATGGCTCCCGGGAGCCCTTCCCTGGTGGGTCCCCGTCTGAGTTAGGAGGCCCTCCTGGTGGCTACAGCTGTCCGGCTGGCTTCCCCCCTGGACTCTGAGCTCCTTGGAGAAGAGATGGCTTACTGCCCCTCTGTCCCCCGCTCAGGAGAGCCTGTAAGGGGCAGGCCCTGGGCTGGGGATGGAGGGCAGAAGAAACCTGGCCTTGGATTTGGGGGGGGTGCCTGTCCCCGCCTCTCCTAGCTCTCAGCTCCCAGCAGGCCTGCAGAGACACAGACACATCTGGCAGCTGCCACCTCAGTCCAAGGATGTGAGGAGGGACCGAGAGGCAGGAGGAAGCCCAGGACTCCCCTGAGGCCTGGCAGCCCCAGGCTCCCTCCAGGGAAGAGGAGAGACGCAGGCAGGGACAGAAGATGAGGCGGGGGCACTCCACTCAAAGAAGCAGGCAGCCACCCCCCAGAGGTCTGGGAGGAGGGAAACCACCCCCCCCAGGCCAGGCCGAGACCTTGGGCCCGCAGTCAGTGCTGGTTTCGCCCCTTCAGTCTGCTCCTATTTCCAGTTGCACTCACGGGGGCTATTTCTGCTTTCTTCTGGTGGGGTTTCTTGAGCACCTTCTTTAATTGGCCCCATTTCTGCAGGCTACAAAGAGGCTCCCTCCTGTCCTGCCCCGCCTCCCGCGGCCCCTGCCTGGAGAGCCAGGGTGTGAGAGCTACAACCCAGGCTAATTATGGGGAGACAGGCAGAGGTGGGGAGAGGCGCACAGAGCCAGCAGGAGCCCCGAGGGATGAAGACAGACAGACCTTATTGAAGGAAGAGAAAGAGAAACACAGGAAAACAAAGGCACGCAGAGAGGAACAGCTTGGATTCCTACTCCTATTGAGTGACAAGAGGAGGCAGAGAGCCCAGGGCCGGCAGGTGGAGGGAAGCTCTCCTGGGAGGGGGTCCTGCCAGCTCCCCCGCTGAGGCTGCAACTTGGGGCCCAGCAGGCCTCCTCTGCACCCTGGGACCATGGAAGGCAGATGCAGGCACCAGGATGGTGGAACTCTGAAGGAGGACCATCTTTATTCTAAGCTGCGGCTTCCCGGGCTCCGCCTTCCTGCCTCTTGGGTTTCAAATGAGTTTTGACCTTGGGCCCCAAGCGTCCCAGTTTGTTTTTTTTCAACAAACACTTGCTGACACCTGCTAACTCTGTCCCATGGCTTTTCCAGGTGACTAAGACGGGTGCTGCCCCCTGCTGGCGCCCGGGCCCCTGCCCTGGACTGGGAAGGCCCTTGAAGGCCAGGTGAGGTCCTGGGGTGGGGACATGGCGGAGTCTGCCCCTGGGCATCAGGAGTGTGAGGCTTCCGACTGAACCTCTCCCCGCGTTTCACACGGAAGCAGTGGAGCCCCCGAGTTGGCAGAGAGCTCCTGATACCCATGACTCTCTGGGTTCCCATCGCCCTCCCCACACCGGTGAGGAACTGAGGCTCGGGAGGTGAGTGGTCGGCCTGAGATCACACAGCTAGTCGGGGGTGGCGCCAGGGCTCCTCTGACAAAGCTCCTTTTAGGAAAGTGACTCAGCCCCTGCACCACCGGGGACCAGGGAAGGAGAAATTCAGAGGAGGAGGAAACGCTAATTGCTTGATGAGAGATAATTGGCAGTGGGAGGGGGAGGGTGGCTTCATGAGAGGATGGCTGGGGGTGGGCCATGGTGGCAAGAACCAGAAAGGGAGAGGGGGCGTCCCCAAGGGGCTTCTGGACACAGCCTGGCGGCCAGCCACCGCGCAGGGGACCCAGGCAGAGCGGGGGAGGGGCGGTAGCTGGAAAGGGGGCCACTCAGCCTCAGAGGCCCAAATGCCCCCGCCGGGGCCTGCTGAGCTGCTGATTACCCAGGCAGAGCCCTGCCAAGCCGACTTCAGGACTAATCATCGCTCCCAGCAGTGACACCTTACAGCTGTCTGAGCTTTACTCATGTGGCCACTAGCAAGCCGCCTGGCGCTCAGAGAGCAGGGGCAGCAGGCTCGGGCAGAGGTCCGAGTCAAAGAGCCACCGGAGCCTCCTTAGCGTGCAGTGTCAACTGGAGACGCTGCTCTTTCCCTCTGTCCGTCCTTCCAGCGTCCTCTATGGCAGACCCCAGCCCAGCACAACCGTCACTACAGGCCCAGACTGGGCGCCAGTAGGTGAGGCCGCTGCTCCTGTTGCATACGAATGCCACCCTGCTACAGGTCCTTATTGAACTCCTCGCCATCACACAAGCCCCCCCC